GAGGCTAGAGGTGTCTATTAGTCTGCCTGTCGGTTTAAAGAAGGAGAGTCGCAGCTTACCTTCGTTGCCCATGATGGTCTTTTGGCGGGGGTCAGTTTGTCTAAAGGCATGCTGTGGAAGAAGAACGCATGTCATAACCACTAGCAATAACATAGGTAAATCTCTTAAGTTATAAAAATAAGCAAACTATCCATAGAGTAAGTGGCATCAGTACCTGCAGGCAAGGAGTGACGCTGGTGGCAGAATTAGATCCATAAGAGCACAGAGAGCACTGTGCCGACATCAGTCAGGAGAGACGAGCGGCTGCAAGTGACAGCAGTAGGATTTTAAACCAGCCGCTCAGCCCTTAGTTCCGCGCATGACATGTCCACGATCATTGGGCCCGTTCAAACATAGAGTAGCGGGCCGGAACTTCCGCATTCCAGTGGCCGGAAAGATACTCATAAAATGCACAGTGTGCGTTCCAGCACGGCCGCCGGAGGCATACTGGCCATAGAATGAGAGGATGTCAGGAGCAGACCCCATGCCCAGCCATTAAAGAAGTACAGAAAAAAGAAAATGGCACTGCGCTTCACAAACTCAAAAATTGTCACAAGTGATAAACAATGTTGTGTCATACACAACACCTGTGTGTCACAAAGTGATAAACAATGTCGTGTCATACACAACACCTGTGTATGACACAAAATTGTTTATCACTTTCTGACAATTTCACATTTCATACTATTTTTCTCACATTTTAGGAATATTTTTTGAGTTTGTGAAGCGCAGTGCCATTTTCTTTTTTCCAAATTTTGGGTGTACTCACCTATTAAGCACAGCTGGTTTTAGAGTGTTATTTGATTCCTAGCGCATTTTTTTTCTATCTAACATTAAACGAGTACAGGTCCATTGACACAGCCCCGATGACCATCAGCAGGGCTCCTACAATCTTCCACATTTAGTAAAGAATCCAGGGGACTTCACCTGATGCAGACGAAACAAGGTGGACTACAAGCATTTTATCCCTGCAAGGTACAGTAAGCTACAACCCTGATCCTGAAGCAGGAGGGAAAAAAAGGAACAGTGGGCTGGGACAGCTGAGTAAAATGTATTAGTTACGATCCCAATTGATGGGAGAAGAGAGAGGGAATAACCATTAGTGTGCTGACATGGAGCTAACAGGAAATATACGTTGCCCAGCAAAGTGTTTGGTTACATTTTCTTCTGTTTCCAAACAGCTGGCTCCAACTCTCTCAGCTCCGCTTCCCTGACTTCCTGTCCAGTACAGCATCACAAGGGACAGAGCAGTCTTTAGCAGCTGTTCATCTACTAGCATGGAGAGGGGAACAGGGGAGTGTCATGCCTTGCTGTTCCTGTGTGTTTGTGGAGACACTTGGATACGCATGGCTCCATCTGTGGACATCACTACAAGCACCAACACTATTCTAAATGGCCTTCATTGCTGTATGGTGTGCAGGGGATATCTTTGTTCACCTGTTTGTGAAGACAGACACTGCTTACTAGCACACACAAGGGGGCTCCATAGGACCCTGCAAGGGAAAGGGGCCACCCTAAAACAGGATACTGGGGCCAGTGCTCAGGGGACCAGCAGATTCTGCAGGAAACTAAAAAATGTTGTCAACACAGCAAGTACATATGTGTTTATGTATTTTTAGTGCAGTGACATCTGTCTATGTAAGGCCCCTCTCCCTCTGCTTCCCCTCCAAGTCTTATACTTACCAGTAATACCTGGAGTTTTGGCCTAAGTGCCCCTGCATGACTACCCGGTGACTCCAATCCCAGCCAGTTTAACTTAAAGAAGAACTATGGGGTTAGGGCTTTTTCCCAAAGTTCTCCTAAGGGTAACGGGAGGACACAAACTAGCGTCCTCCCGTCACCCAAAGCTCAGTATACCGCGAGCTACAGCTCGCGGTATACTGAGACGCCGCAGCTGAAACGGATCCCGACAATTATGTCTGGATCCACCCAGCTGCGTGAGTGACAGCTGGCTCTGCATATCTAGAGGCAGAGCCAGCTGAACCCGCCCCCTCCAACGTCCGTTCCGCCAGTCAGCGCTGGTGGATCGGAGCAGGGAGGGGGGAATCCATCCCCTCCCCTGTCACGGCTCTCTGCAGTGACAGGATCGAAAAGTGAACGAGCGCCGGTATGTGTTCGCTCACTTCCCGATCTACTGAGCCGACCTGTGACAGTTTCATCGTCACAGGTCGGCTAGAACTATGAGGATGAGTGAAAATCACTCACCTCATAGTTCTCCTTTAAACACAGATTTACTTCTTAATGCTGAAAAGAGCAATTTATCAGGTTTGTAAAATTAGCATAGGTGGTAATAAAAATGGCTCTTTCATCCCTTTTCTGAGCACTTCTTATGCTTGTTCTTGTATTAGAAAATTATCTCATAATCAGACAAAATTGTCCTACATGGCAGATATAAATTCTGAGGTTGCAGTTTCCGAGGTCATTGCTGCTGTTGGTTACACCTTATAAACTGCACAACATAGATGGATCTGTCCAAAAAAAGCCTTGAATACATTTCTTTAGAAAATGGTATATGCTAGTGCACAGCTGCCTTGTGTTTTGTGTAGGAGTCTGGGTCCAGTTTGAGTAGAGTGAGGTCTATTGCAATTCAGGAAATAAGACAGCAGACAGCAGTTGTTTTGTATTAAAAAAAAAAACAGAACAGAAGGTACAATTATGAAACTGTAGTTTGTTCTGTTTTCTATTTTAAAAAAAAAGTACACATGATATTTTTCATTAGGCATGCAATTACATTTATGTACACATATGAATTCAGTGGCTTTACAAAATCCTGAAAAAAATGGTCTCATAGAAATACTGGATTTCTGAGGGCAGCAATTAGCCACTTAATTATTTACTCAAAGCAAATGCTACATTCTGCTCAGCTTTTTAGGGGACAAAAATGTGTTAATCCTACAGTGAGCTGCCTCTGTGTATGATGATGGCACACTGACTTTGAAAATGGCTAATTTGCAAAGTGCATAATTATAGATTGAATAGGAACTGGGTGACTTTTGCCCGTACATGCGATCACCAAAAAAGGTCAGAATACATGGTATAGTTGCCATTCGGAAATACACAAATGTGTACACAACTTTAAAACTAGTACTACTAAAACTGTATATTATAATACAGGATTTATATAGCGCCAACAGTTTGCACAGCGCTTTACAATATAAGGAAGACATTACAATCACAATACGATCAAAGACAAGATGGTAAGGAGGGCCCTGCCCGTGAGGCCTTACTATCAATATAAAACTATAATTCTCTAGCAATTGCACTAATTTATATGCGTGTTCTCTTTAAAGAAGAACTCCGGGAATGTAAAAAGGTAATCTTTTTACAACAGCAGAGGAGAGGGGGAGAGAGGTGAGTATATCTTCTTTATTCCTGGTAGCCCCACTGCAAGGGTTAATTTTTTTTAGATTCCTGGAGTTCCTCTTTAAGATTCAGGTCACCAGTTGTCACATAGGATTCACATATTTTTCCAATTGAATCCAATTAGAAAAAACTGTGAATCTTGAGTGAACGTTGTGTGAAAACAATTATAAATTGACCCCTAGGTACAGCCTTTCTGTACCAGGGTTCCTCTAATGGTTATTTTTAGCTGTCTGTATGGGGGGGGGGGGGAAGGGACAGCCTTTCCACTCACCAGTTCTGTAAGGGGCAGTCTTTCCACTGACCAATACTGTGAGGGGCAGTCTTTCCACTGACCTGTACTGTAAGGGGCAGTCTGTTCACTGACCAGTACTGTACGGGGCAGTCTGTTCACTGACCAGTACTGTACGGGGCAGTCTGTCCACTGACCAGTACTGTAAGGGGCAGTCTTTCCACTGACCAGTACTGTAAGGGACAGTCTTTCCACTGACCAGTACTGTAAGGGGCAGCCTTTCCACTCACCAGTTCTGTAAGGGGCAGTCTGTCCACTGACCAGTACTGTACGGGGCAGTCTGTCCACTGACCAATACTGTAAGGGGCAGTCTTTCCACTGACCTGTACTGTAAGGGGCAGTCTGTCCACTGACCAGTACTGTAAGGGGCAGTCTGTCCACTGACCAGTACTGTAAAGTTAATATCAAAAAGTAATTTCAAGGGTTCCTTCATGTAGAAATAGGTTGAGAAAGGCTGCCTTAGCATGTTGTTTTTTATTGGGGGAAAATATTGAGATGTATTCATGTGGCAGTCCAGTTTATAATGATTAGGGTGATATTTAAAGCTAGGCAGTACGTTACTTTTTAGTGATATGAATTAGGCACCATATTTTTGGGTGTAGTAAATTGTTCCCCCAACTACATTTACATTGAAAAGCAGGCACAAAACTGGACTATCACACCAATAAATGAATTTCACAAACGTAAAATGAGTAAATTACCGTTAATGTAACCTACATCTTACCCTGTCTTCTAAACCTAACCCTGTAATGCAATCCCTGAAAACAATTCTTTACTTGTTTTTATTGTCAGGACTAAACAACATATAGATTGAAAATATTGTTATTTTTTGTCAAATATTAAAATGTATCTTAACCCCAAAAACAAAAATGACATTTATTGCAGCTTACCAGTCCTTAGATGAGGTTCCTGCATTTTTTTTCTATTTATTCTTACCCGGTGATCCTGTGAATGCCACTATTCCTGTCCCTTTATATCCATGGAGGGAGCTATGGTTGTCACACATGCTGGGTTTTGAGCATGTCTGCCTTTATTCATCTCTATTACATTGTGGATAAATGGGATTAGTAGTTCACATAAGAAAGATAAGGATGGGTGCACTTTCTAAATTTGTATTGTTGGTAATATTTGAAGGTGAACTTTCACTTTGAAATTAATTTCAGCTAAAACATGTTTTCAGTCAATTCAAAAAAAGTACCAATCGGAACTATCATTTTCACATTTACAAAAGATTCAAGAGATGAGTCGTGGATATTTCTTACGGTAAAGTAAAACCTTTTTGAAATTGATGGTTTTTTTTTCTTCTATGCAGGAAAAGGGCTCATGACAACTACTGAACTGGTTCAGACATTTTCCAGAGAAAATGCTACAAATAAGCTTTTGGATACTTTTACTCTCGATTGTCACATCTGCAACAGGTAAGGACAATTCTTAATAGCCACGAAGGATAAATGTCCCTTTCGTGTGCGCCAAATGCTTTTGCAGACCCAGTTATTACCTTGTAAAAGTAGTGGTGACATTATCACTGTGCTGTACATATCCTGTGCAGAGAGCAGAGCTATGGGAGGGGTCCAGCAGGCTCCAGCTACTACAGGTTGCCTGCAGAAAACTACAAGAAGGGTGGATAAAAGACCCGCCACCCTGCACAAGGAGAGAGAGCAGCGCTGCTCAGTCCTAATACAGGAAGCTCCTGCACAGTTTCACTGGATTACTGCACAGATCTGGAAGAAAGACACAAAGCACATGAAGATTTAAGTAAGAATACACAGGCCTCTTTAGACAATGTTTGCTGAACATTATTATACAGTATTTATATAGTTCTACCCCTTTTTAACTGCAGAAGATCAATTCTCATGACCTCACCTGCCAGACAAGGTTGTGCTCTGTGGCAGAGCTGCGTAAAACACAGAACTGTATCAATAGAAATGCAAATCCTTTGGCACTAATATATGCATTTCATTTGTGTATTTACCCATTTATTGAAGTTAAGCTTTAATCTTGTGACTTGCCATGTCCATGTGCCGCACACGCTAACATCTTCCTTTCCTCTTCTCAGTGACGATTACATAGCACTAGAGCTGCAGCTAACGATTATTTTCATAATCGATTAGTTAGCCGATTATTAAGTTCGATTAATCGGATTTTTAAAAAAAAGTCTCCAAATAAAAGCACAACCCACACCTCCCTCCCCCACACACACATAACATACACATGCACCATATTACGTTGTTAATATATAATATATTTACACATAATATGTTAGAACGCATCGCAGTGCATGATTTTTTTCTTTTGTAAAAAAAACATTAAATTAACTGTGGCAGCGCATGGCAAAGCTTTGTGACGCATTGCCGTGCGTTGTGATACCTTGTGTTGTAATTAAATATACGCCTGTATCATTTTATCACAACACAAACACTAACACAGCACAAAAACCATTTATAACATAAATTGCTTATTTACAGTTTAGCGTTCCTTCATTATTTTTTTTATAATGCCCCTCAGCCTCTCATTGGTGTGGCAGTATTAAAGTAAAGTGTTAGGCCTCATTCAGGCGCCATTTACACAAGGGCCGAAGCGTTTCCGCACGATTTTTGAAAGAGCATTTTTGGCTGTTTTTAGTCGCGTTTCAGCAACTAAAACGCAATTAAAAATGCTCAAAAACGTGCTGATCAACGCATTTCTATTAAAATGGGGGCGGGGGTAGGGTTGCCACCTGTCCAGGATTCACCCGGACCGTTGGGGTTTTGAATGCTGTGTTCGGGTTTCATGGCAGCAGAAACCTGTACACAAGATGTCAGGCAGACAGGGGCAACCAAAATTAAAATAAGGGCTACTGGCCCCCCACTGAAAATGGTCTCGACTGTGATAAGGTATTTCTAATTACGCCACTGACTGTAAGTATAATAAAAAGGCATCAGATTAGGTGGGATAGAGCTGTCAGCTACAGCTGGGAGACATTTCTGTTTAAATGGGAGAGGTTGAATACAGAAAATTATATTCTAGGACTGCAAGCTGCTAAGAAGGGTGGAGTTAGCTATGAGGAACAATATAACATAATTTTTATCATTTGGGTGCTCTTATTATTTATGTCATGATCTACTAAAGCAGTTATAATAAAAGACACAACAAAGAAAAATTTAAATATTGTCACATACTGTACAAGCAAAAACATGGTCAGTAAACTGTAGCTTATACAATGGTTTGGCATCTTTATCTCTAATGCACATGAAAACTGTTATACCCTTTATATCGTTACAGATACCATTTACAATTGTACTTGTCATGGACATCACTGCTCAGGAGATACCTGTACTGGGAATGCATGCTTTGTGACAGAGCAAATGCTTGAAAATAACGAAGTCTTCAGGGTCCGTGGCTGTTTTGATAACCACATAACAGAACAGTGCAACAGCAAGACCAGTTTCTTAGAAGCAAGATGCTGTTACTCAAATTTCTGTAATGCTGATATGACTATCTACACTATAAGTAAAGTAACTCCTTTTATCACTTATCACACTGGGGTGGGTTTAAGATTTCCACATTTGATAATTAGGTCTCAGCTAGACAGTCAGAAACAGTTCACCATGGTCCTGAGAATGTTAAACGCTACGAGGCACCCAGTCCTCACTATTTGTGGGGTTTTGCCAGACGCGGCCCTCTAATCAGGCATGTTAGAGGGCCGCCCACTGGGGCCTCTCGAGGACCCCCTAGAGGAGCGAGCGGCTGCACATTTAGAGAGCCGCATCTGTAGCGGTGCAGGTGGCAGAGAGACGGCGGAGGGAGGTAGCCACTGCACCTGCAGTGTGACGGGCCTCCTGAAGGCATTGCCCAAGGGGTCAGTCCGCCCCTGGCTGGTGGTATTCAGCATTGCTGTATAATCATTATACAGCAATGCTGAATACCACCAGCGCAGCTAGTCCCCCAATCCCCCCTTTCCCCCCAAGGCAGTCATTACCCACAGACTCCCCAACCTCACCTAACATATGCAGGCTGCAGCACCTCTTCATCTGCGTCCTTGGCGGCCAGTGGAGGGGAGGGGTCACAGGAGAGGGTGCCTGCTGAGATGGGCATCGGCTCCGCCAGGCTATCAGTCATTGCCAATGACAGGCAGCTGCAGCTGCCAATGACCTGTTTCATTCAGAAGATCCACGCACAGCCGCCGGTACATACAGCTGTCCCTCCGTGCCACGGACTTTACTGCAGTTCAAGTAAAGTCTGTGACACAGAGAGAAAGCTGTATGTAGTTGTGTCACACAACAGCGGGTGGCAGCCGCAGCAGACGCAAGGGTCAGGACTCGTCACTCGGGACAGTCACAGGTGCACCCCCCCCTGGATCCGCCACTGACCTGAACATCAACCTATTTTAGTTCCAGAAGGGAGTAGCATGCTGATTTGAATAAAAGTCTCACCCACATAACTTGTATTTAGTCTTAGTGTGCACCTAATTCCATTTTCTTTCTTTCTTTCCCTAAAAGAGAAAGTAGAAGAGCCAGCACTGACACGTCTTCTCCTGGTAACTGTTCTCCCAGTGGTCCTGTTCCTGATCCTTGCCATACTTTTCACATTCTTATTCTGGAAACTAAGAAGAAAAAGCAGGAAAAAATCCCTGGCCAGACTTATTGACTTTGGAAATGTAGACATTGTAAATGCATCAACTGTTGGTGACAGCACTTTAGGGGTGAGTCATCTGACTGATGGTTAAGATAAAACTGTGTACAGCTATTTTATTTTATCTGGGCATGGTTTAAATCATTTGTACAATAGTACTGTAACATTACAAAAATAAACCATGCTGTTACATACAAATATATAGATTTAGCAGTTTTAGGCTAGGTTCAGACCAAAGTGACACCCAGGACGCTAGTGTTTTTTTTTTAGCCATGATTGTGTTCAATTGCACAGGCGAAATCCCGGCGGGAAACTGCGCGATCTGGGCTGCCATTCGAAAATAATGGCACCTCCAGTGCGATCGGCTGTGGTGGCCGACTCCATGACCGCGCAGTTTTGTGCATGATTGCTGCGGGTCAGGACTCATCCAGGTGTGAACCTAGCCTTAGTCATACGTTTAATGCAACATTTCCCATTAAGTGCTATTTATTATTTGCCTGCTTCCTAGCTGGCTTGTATGCAACCTACTTTACCATACAATAAGCAAAACAACAAATGTGCATTTTTAATCTCATATTTTATGGGATTTACTGCACCATTCAAGTATAAATGTGTCCAAATATTGGACAATTAAATATATTTGAATATTTTCAAAACAAGACATTAAAAACTTTTACAGAAGCCTTCACTGACATCTGTAGCTGCTGGCACTGTGGAGCAAATCATCCTCAAATTTCACAGATAAAGCACTGAAGTTGTTCAAGTCAGTTGTCAACAGCTTAGCTCATCCTGCTCCCTCTCCCTGTAGTTCCTTATCTCTTATGTGAACACTGAGGAGAGAGCAGTGGAAGCTCGGCTGCTGGGAGAACCAACCTTAATGGCCTGCTGAGAGAACCAACCTTAATGGCTTCAATTCTTTTGCTGTGAACTTTAAGGATAAATTCTTTCACAGTTCCAGGAGCTACAGTAGTAAGTAAAGCTTGTTCAAAATCTAATTTACTTCTTGATCTCTTATGATCAAGCCACAGTCTGATTCTTCCTGCTCTTCTTAGCTCTGTATTGGCCACAAAGTGTTGGGCGGTCTCACTGGCTATTAGAGAGCTAACCAGAGTGGGAAGGGATGGGTGAAGAATACAACATCCCGGATCGTTGGAGTATCAACGTCTTCAAGAAACAGGAAGTTTACATGCAGAAAATACAAAAGTCTCTCCATTAATTACCTTATGCTGTTGCCAATGTTATGTTTCTTTCATAGTTTATTGTTTTCAAAAACTAACAAATGGATGTGCAATTTTTTCAGGATCTCCTAGATGACTACTGCACTACAGGTAGTGGCTCTGGGCTACCATTCCTTGTACAAAGAACTGTGGCTCGTCAGGTTACACTCGTGGAATGTGTAGGTAAGACAAATACACCTGCAAATATTTTAAGTGGAACAGAACTGATATTACCCATCAATACTATTCTGCCATGATGATATGTATAACACGGTATAATTATAACAAAAGCTGCTGCTAAGAAATAAAGAGAAAAAATATTTTTCAGTTCATATAACACTTTAAAAAAAAGTCTCTTAAAACTCTCAAAAATGCATTTCAGCACACCTCAAGGCAATGCACATTAACAAATGCATTTTGATGTGATTGGGCCCTTAGTATAGTCAAGCCTTCATTCATTTTTTAATACTCGCAAAATTAAAAAGTAAGATAACCATTAACCAGACAATTTTGATCTTTTATACAATTTCTTTAATTATTATTGGGACCTCTTGCCATTTAGGGTAGAACCCCATGATCATCTCTGAATTGGTGCAGACACTGTCCTTCCTTCTGGAGGGCGGCTACTTTTGTTGTACTTTTGTAAGGCTATTCTGTAAAGCACATAGGACTTACTGAAAGGATATATTGAATATTATTTTGATGTGAACTGGGAGACAGCTGGATTAAGGGTGACAGATATATTCTGCAGACCAAGATAAGTCTTGCATGAATATGTCCACGATAAGATATGATGAAAGAAGAAGACAGCAGCATTCGCCAAAAATACTACTATTGTCTGGGAAATTGATGTAGAAGGAAATGTATTTTGACCATAGCAACTAATTACTTTTCCACTTTATTTTTATACTGTTCTGACAGTATATAGGTTATAGGATATAGGCATTGACAGTTATAGGTTACAATGCATATTAACATAAAATGTCTTACCAAAAGGCTTAAAGAAGACGTCAGCCTAGAGTACTAAATAAAGATGCATTAGCAGCATGCCGAAGACAAGCGTAGGAATATGTTTGTTTTTTTTTAAATAATACGCACATAATACATAAATGAGAAGTCCTCTAACTTCTGATTTTTTGTTGAATTTGTAATATTGAGTTCACTGTGAGGTCATTCTAAAGCTGGGCATGATGGCTCGAATTTCAAGCCATGGGTGGCCCTGTAAGTACCAACTGCCAAGAAAAATGGTGATTTAAAAAATAATTGGCTGATACAGGATTTTTTTTATCCTCTCTTGCTGGCTGAACAGATTCATTTTGAACCATCCAGAATTAGGCACTTATGCAGAAAAAAATCAGAAGGTGGTAATGGTGCATATTCCTTATGTATGTATGCAGAGTCGGATTCCCCACAAGGCCTCCGAGGCCAGAAGGGGGGTGCACAAATCCCGACGTCCTGACCAGTGCACAAGTCCTGATGCGACGTCCCGACCAGTGCACAAGTCCCGACGTCCCGACCAGTGCACAAGTCCCGACCAGTACACAAGTCCCAACGTCAGGCAGATGGGGGGCAACCTCGGGTTAGAGGTCCTGTTCCTGCTCGTGTGCTGTTTAGCAGGGAGGGCGGTGCATTGAAAATCCTGGCCTTGGGGCAGCAGAGAGAGTAAATCCGGCCCTGTATGTATGTATAGGCCAAATGAGAAGAATGCCTCAATACACATGCATGCTAATTGATTTTGGATTGACATTGCAGCAACAGTTCTTTACAACAACTCCTTTACACAGTCTCCATCCTTTCACTCAGAAAATAGATCAATGGTAAGCTAACAAGACTTAAAATGATAATAGAAGCCCATGAATATAACTGATTAAAACACAGCATTGAGAACTCATGACAAGCTAGTCAGTAGTACTGGATTCATCTACACCACCTGTTGTACGTGAGCTAACTTTTTTTTTTCTGTAGTGATGCTGTTGGAGCAGCTACACACAACAATTTAAAAAGTCTCCAAGAAAATATGGCGGTTACTGTTACATAGAAAATATTAGACCCAAAGGGCTAAGGTTTTTTTTTAGAGATTCAACAGAGGACCTGCAATGTGAGGATTTTAGACTTTAATAATTCCTACTGAAGTTCTTTAAACTCCAGCCAAAACTTTTTACTGGTTTTATCATTGTCTGTATCAATAAAGCTCATCATACACATTACAATCTGATTACACAAGCTTCTTTAGATCTACCAATAATTTTGTAGTGCAAAGTCCTTTGTTATGGTTCTGTTACATGGTATGATCATTTTAATTGTAATACATTTTTTTGTTTAAGTGATCCTTTCTTTTAGTTTTTTAGTAAGTTTGTTTGGACATTTGTTGAATATATGGTAATAAAGGAGCTATGTACAAATGTATTTTCTAATAATGTGTCTTATATTTTTATTATGTGGCTGAACAGTGTTGGTTAGACATTATATTAACATGCCATGGCGATATTTAAAACACAAATGTTTCTTTATGTACAGTATCGGCAAATGTAACAGATTGTTATTTATTCCTAGGTAAGGGGCGATATGGAGAAGTGTGGGGAGGCACGTGGCAGGGGGAAAATGTAGCCGTAAAGATATTCTCTTCTCGAGATGAACAGTCATGGTTCAGAGAGACAGAAATTTACAATACGGTTTTACTACGTCATGAAAATATCTTAGGTAATGTTCAGTTGCTGCATTTATTTTTTATTAAAAATACCCATTCAGCTGCTAATTTGTACACTAATTTGTTTTGTTCTTAAATCAATGGATAAAATTCCTGCTTCCCTAGAATAATTTCTACAACCTATTTTCCATGATTTCCACCTACTAATCACATATAACTTCCAAGAAAATACTTGTATATTCTAAGGAATTTTCTGGATATCTGAATGAGAAGGGATGATTTATTAATGCAGTAGAAAATGGTTGTTTAGCAAAGTGATTGTTCACTTATCTTAGAAAATAAGGTAAAGTTTAGATCAGTTTCACTTTGAATAAAGCATGTATAAAAAACTAAAGAAACAAGATTTTTGCTTGCACATTATTGGATAAATGAAGTAAACAGAGTATCAATAATCTAAATGAACATTTGTTTGTCAAAGAAAAGGTTTTCTACTGCTTTAGTAAATTAACCTCAATAGATCCTACAAGATATGATCTTCAAATAAACCTTAATACAATAGCAAAACACTCAATTTTGTCATATGTTTACTGAACAAGTGTTTAAATAAAACTAAGGTTGATTAATGGAAACAATTGAACACCTCAGAATTAATGACATCTCACAATAATAATTAGGTAATCCACAGAACTGAGTTTGGTGTTTCAGTCAATTTAAATGTGGGTTGCTGTTAAAAAGGAAAAATAATATCACACAATTTTAGTACTTTTAATTCCCTTTCTTTATAACAAAACTATGTTAAGGTGCAATATGACCTTATCAAAGCAGATTTTAGAGGAAGGAAGATACTTTTCTGCCATAATTGATGGCAATTAGGCACCTTTATCATTTTCCTTAGAAGTGGGTTTCTTATGAAGGTTAGCAAGAGCACTATTTAAAATGCACAGATCTGGGGAGACGCATGTGTGCAGCAAATTAACATGGACGTCCTGTAAGACTGCTCTGCACCCGAGTACATATTCTCACATAGCCACTAATGGATGAGTACTACCTCAATTTTTTTACCATACTTTTTTACTAATTTACTAAAGAGACCATGGATTATTTTTATTGCCAGTCAATGACTTACAGTGTCCCTACAGTTTGAGGCATGGACACCTTCTCTTAGTTGCTTTATGTTTGCCTTAAGAAATGAATGTTTCTTTTTTTCTCAGACATCACTCTCCCAAAAGGCTTATATACTTTTTGATACTTGTGCTATGACTTGTTCTAAATTGTAGATCTAATTCTATCAGCTTCCCTCTGTATATCAGATATGGATACTCACATTGAGCCAAGTTGGACCAATTTAAGTATTCCTAAAAAAATAATAATTCCTGGAGTTCTATTTGGTGCCTGCTAGAGTTGCTCATCTTTTATGCACCTAGGGATTGGGAACTGGGTAGGGTGATAATGCTTTTATCCACTATTGGATCTTGTACAGTGTAAACATATCCTGTGTTGTTTGTACAGAGAACACACATTCACTTGTTAGATGTCAGATCTGGACTCCACTATGTGGACTTCCCACCAGCAATTTGTATATTAATATTCCATGGCACGATGCCCCATGTTGGGGATACATTAATATACACCATTTGGGAATTAGCAACTTACATTTTGCACAGCTGCTCGCTTTTAATTCCAATTGTCTCCATTGGTGATTGGGAACCAATCAGAGTGGTTCCCGATCATGTGAACACCCTGCAGGTCTAACATATTATAACATGCAGGCTGAAGATTTCATCAATAAAAATGAAAGCCTTCAGTTTGCATATGAACGCTGCCATCTTCTGGCTGTCGTGTTCATCTGGAATGCCATCTATTTAAACATACGAATGAGGAACCATTGTTTTGCAGCGAATCTTCAAGGTTTGCAAAATTGTGGCCAAAAACTTTGCAGACTCACTGTCAGTAATAAAGAACAACCTATAATGGACAACACTTTGCTGAAAGAATGGATAACCCAACCTCCTTTTATAAAAGGGTGGTTTACAGCAGCCATATTGTCAGTATGTGTTGAAACTGTTAGAGAGAGCTGCCAATTCTGTATTTTGTATTGATTTATTTATTTTGCCATTGGTACCTGTCCCTCAAGGTAGTGCCCAGATTACCACGTTTTTTGCTTATCAATAGCTTCTACAAATGGCCAAAATTGAATAACAAGATTCACCTCTTCACCTCTAATAGACTTCAACAGGGTTTACTGCAGAGTTAGTCACTTAATCAGGGGAATTCAATATCATGTTTGCGCCAGAATTCTGGTGCAATGCAGCCTAAGAATTTCCTGCGACACTCTTTTTGAATTCCCCTGAAATGTGCATGGGCCGACTAGCAAGATACTGAAGCTTGGCCCAGTGGGAGATTCCTCCATTCACACAGTTTAGCGGAGATGGAGGAATCTGTTGCACTTTTTCCATCTGACCATAGAAAATCTGCAGATAATCTATAGGTGTATGGCCAGCTTTAGTTCTAAGTTGGAGATTTTGCCTTCTCTGATTACATATTCAGCCCCTGAGAAATACTGCTGGGAAAAGCAGTGACCCAATGACATCAGCTTTAAAAAATAACAATCTACAGAAACCCCTGATTATTGATGCGGTTACGATAGTTGCAAGAAAGTAATATTCTTTTCAGGAAACCATAGCTGACTGCAGATTGAACTGAAAAGGTAATTTTTCATACAATACATGGCGGCGATTGTACGTGGAGCTTGAGGACTTGCTGTATGTGTAAATGTTTAATTGTGGTGCTCTGTTTTCTACATTAAAATAACTTGACTGTGTCTAATCAAGCCATTCCATAAAATCTAGATACAGCGTTGAGTGCCTTTTTAGAAGCAGATTTTTTAAAATGACTAACATTTAGTTTTTCACTTTCAGGATTTATTGCATCTGATATGACTTCTCGAAACTCCAGCACCCAACTATGGCTGATCACTCATTACCATGAAAATGGTTCACTATATGACTATCTTCAGAGGAACACTGTGAACCCTGAGGATTGTTTACAACTGGCAGCATCAATCATCTGTGGCTTGGTGCACCTTCACGTGGAAATATTTGGCACTCAAGGAAAACCTGCAATTGCACACAGAGACCTGAAGAGTAGAAATATCCTGGTGAAATCCAACAAACAATGCTGCATTGCAGACTTAGGTGAGTATCTGTATGTGTAGCAAAAGCCATTATATAGATGTAGACTCCTAACAAATAAAGGGAAACTATTATCTGTTCAATGTTATTTTACATATGGTAGCGCATTTTACTCTCCTCCAGCTTCTTTCAGCCACGTCCTGCCTACATCCTCTCCCTCTAGCTTCGGCAGGATATAATTGTTTTTAACAAGCCTCCTAAAAGAGACAATGGTGGACAGTGTCTGTGATAGATGTGTTGACACATGCTGCTTGTAGTCTCCACCAGGGATGCAAGATACAGGGTGGCAACACAGGAGCACAATTGGAAAAATAATTATCATTTTATAGTAGGAAGTTCTTGAACAAGGACCTTCATTGATAGATCAATCATTTTTAAGAAAGCTGCATATTTAAAAAGATTAAGAAGAACTTATGAATAAATATGTATACTGATGTTATATTTCTGTATTATATGCAGTCATATATCTGTTCTTCTTTTTTCTCTGTTACATCACAAAATATAAGTGAAAAAATATACATTATTTTTACAGGTCTTGCAGTGATGCACTCTCAGAATGGTGATTATCTTGATATTGGTAATAATCCAAGAGTTGGCACCAAGCGTTACATGGCGCCCGAGGTCCTCGATGAGACCATTCGAACAGACTCATTTGAATCTTATAAACAGACAGATGTGTGGGCTTATGGATTAGTCGTTTGGGAAATTTGCAGGAGGACAATTATAAATGGTGAGTCTTGGTTCATTGGTGAATTTGCAAGGAAACATAAACTTCATTTGTAAAACTTATATTGGGCCTAAGGGTAGAACATACAGGAATTTTGAAGTTTCCTTGTTTTGAGGCTTATACAGGCAGGGTACTCTCTCGGTATACAGCTCTCATGGCAAAGACAAAGGGAAAAAGTGCACACCCCCACATATGACACATAAACATATACCAAATACCCTATTACTTATAATAGATGAGTACAGTTTCATGTATCCCTATCCAATAAAGAACTCTTAAGTGTTGCAGCTTAAATCCAGATTTAATCAGCTCAATCATAAATCAGATCATGCTGCAATAATTACCCTATCTCCAATGCTGTCCCCTCCAGAAAGTCCTCTCTGCACTAGATGGTGAAGCTGTACTGGCTAGAATGATACACAGTACCGAGGACCCGGACTCACAGGAGAATGCTGCAGAGAGTGAACCCACCTCATTGTATGGCAGAGCCCTCTGTAGCATTTTAGACCCAATTACAGCCAAGGACTGAAGAGGAGTCAGAGGACCTGTGATAGCATTTGACCAGACTGAAGACACATGGAAAAAGAGTATGTGGAAAGATTAAGCAAAACAATATATTTTTTTGCAGACTTATAAATGTAAAACAGAATTAGTACTTTTTTTGTTTATATACATATTTTGTGCGGCACTGGCTGTGGATGTGGATGGTGTATATGGGCCACCTAGGTTTTGTCACCTACATTTGGTAAGGGGCTACTGGTTTGATAAATGATATGGAGTAAACAGACTTGAATAATACGTTTTGTTTAGGGTCCTAGGGTGTGAGAGGCTTTGTAGAGTTTCGGGTAGGATAAAGCCTCTATTCTTAGATCCACAGCTTACCTGATAGCCAGACTTCAATAGTAGACTCAGCTGTCCACAGGTGTTCTGTCATTGCTAGATGTTACCCCATGGCCTATGTATAGCTTGACATGCAGCTAAACCTTCCTATTTTGGGTGAAATCTTGATGATTTATTAACATAACAGGGCGGGTGAAACTGGTGATAAAGAACAAGGAAACATACAATCAGTATATACAATATATAAATAGAGTGTCAACTTACAAATACAGAGAGAAATAAGTCAATTTCTACCAGCGATGCTGCCTAAGAGGGATATGGGCTCTTTCCTCCACACATGTGCTGCAGATGATAGTGGATTCCTCTTTCCTCAGTCGTAAAATGGAGCCTGAACTCCCAATATGCACTTATTTAATTTCTCTTTGGGCTGAGGGATGTTGGGAGTTTTCTTAAAGGGAAAGCAATCTAAGCGGCTTTTACCAGAGATGTTTTTCCTTCAGCTCCATCTGGTGGCTGATTTTGATATTGCAGGTACGTAAACCTAATCATTTTCCCTGCTGAGGCAGAACAACAGGTCTTTTTATATGTGAGCTGACTGATGTTTAGGGCTCTCTCTCGTTGTATGCTGTGGGGCCTCCTGCTTGCAGAGTACCAATACCTACTGGTATTACCTATTTGCTTTGAGGAACCCATAAGGGGGGCACCCTGTTAATCATGGACTGACTTGAGTTCAGTTAGTTGCTCAGATGAGCAGATGTTTGTTTTGTGCTGTGGACTTGTTGTACAAAGCCCTCCTATATAGTGCAATATAAATAGGTAAGCCGTATTAGTCCAGTAGACAAGATGTCAACATGCGCAACCACTGTCAAAGGAGAGCTCCAGGAAAAAACTGTACCTATAGCTGGCCTTTACTATTTTCGTATTGAATTAGTCCTGGCAATCGAAGTCTATGGGACTACCATTTGCCATCAACACGTTTCATTTAGGAAGCAGCAGCGACTAGAAGCAGACTGCACACGGACTGGAAACATTGAGCTGAAGGTCCTGCTGGGATCTGGGCTCACATTAAGGAGAGCTACTGTATATCTCAGAAAGGACAGCATGGATAATACCCCATTACACTTACCTCCTGCTGTCCTTTCCAGGGAAAATTCCTGGAGCTCTCCTTTAAGTTTTAGCTGCGTAGTATGTTCGTAACCAGAGCTTTGACTAAATAAACCAGAAATAGTGTCAGAAATGGCTAGTTGTATCTGACCATCAGATCAATTCGGATTGTGCAAATCAGCAACATTTGCCCTAATCCAGATTCCCGAATCAGTTCGCTCATCTCTAATTGTAATGTGTTAATAGGGTATTAAGAATGAAGCTGCAACATCTTGTAAACCGTTCTCATCAGTGCCACTAATCCTTTGTTAGAGATATGTGGCGACCTGTATATCTGTTTTACACATCCATAGAAAGAATAAGTTCTCAATATACATGACGATTAATTGCTTAGTTAAATAATCTGACAGAACAGAACTTGCCACTTGCGCTGGAACAAAACGGACACTGCAGGCCTGCTAATCAGCCCTTTGATTTCAGATGGTTTTGTTTTCCACGAAGGATTAGCTTTAAATTATAAACACCGTAATCTGGTGTCAGCACCCAGGTCCATGATTAAAGCAGCCATTACATTCAATCAGCACTCTGTTTATTCAACACTGATTAGAAAACTAGCAGCATCAGAGAGAAACTTGGACTGCTGCCATGTTTCCTGCAGCCCGTTGCCATAAATCTGAAATACAGGACCATTTCCACCACAAAAGAATGCTACCACAGCACAGAATGCATTTCCTCAAGTGGAAAATAGCACCTTCCAGGGGCTTGGTTTTGACATTGACTTAATTTCAAGTTTGCTGTGCAGTCAAAGCACTGATATGGAGTCTGACTTTCACCCACATAATTCTTTTAGCAATAACAAATCTACAATGTGTAGTGGGCGTTAATAGCAGAAGGAAAAGACCTGAGCCAAGTATTCTGAAAAAAAAAAAAAAAAACACAGACCACAGCAGGAATGTTTCTGTGAAGAGGAAATGCATTACAATCATCAAGATTACAGACAATCAATAACATTTGTGGTTACAGGGTGAACATGTTATTTTGTCTGCACTGGTTGCCAACCATCAGTGAGGAAATTTGATTGGCATTAAATATTTTTATCCTTGTCCTTCAGCAAAATAAATATCGTCTGTATGGGGTATGAATGTCATAGGAAACACAAGTACTAGAAAGTGGAATAAAAGTGCTGGACCTGCAAGTTTTGTCCTATTGGTGTGGCTGGCCAATTATTATTATTACATAGTATTTATATAGCGCCAACAGTTTGCGCAGCGCTTTACAATGTAAGATGTGAAAGATTAATTAAGATGTGAAAGAATTGGTATAGATGATCTGACTATTGGACATGCAGCTTCTACATTCCAGAGGATCTCCACTGCCTCCTTGGTTTGTGGTGTGAAATTGCAAGATTGTGAATTGAAGCACCACACTTCATTTAATAGTACAGATACATCTTTATTCAATGTATGGCTGCCAAATCAGCTGCTGAAGAGCTTTATCCGTTCTCACACACAGGACAAAATTATATTCAATTTCAAGCCTTTACAGTTCTGATAAATGTTCTGCCTTAGTAAGTCCTGATGAAGACAGGATTTGTAGGAGCCCCTGAAACATGTTGTCTATTTCTATACTGTCCCCTTAAACCAAAATTGAATAAAGATGGATCTGGACTGTTAAATGGAATGTGGCGCTTAATTTCCCAATCCTTGTATCAAAACGGTCCACTGCACTTATAGCCCGCTAACTCATATACAAAGTCACCAACAAAAATTTTGACTTCTGACACTTCTGGGAGGCACAGGTGGTATCACTGTACCTCACTACTCCTGAAAAAAGCTGTGAGCTCAAAATCCTGCAAGAATGCTCTCTAACCTATTGCAGGAGTGCATTCTCGTGCGATTTCAGGCACCCAGAAGTTTTGCTTTATTTTTGACCTAACTTTATTTTTGTAGTTTTTTTTTTAGACCATTTATATATGGAGACCAGGGGACTTTGCGTCAATTTTTAGGACAAGCTTAAGGGAGATCCAGGTACCCTCTAATTATGGTCCCAGCGAAGGGAGGGTTCAAGGGAGTAGATCTCCAAAAAGCTTGTTCTAAATGAACTTTTAATGCAAATTTAAAATGATTTTTTTTATAGTATTTACCTGTGTTATTACAAATGCACTAAAACAGCTACAGTCACCTGTGCAAACTATAACATTAAAAACACACCTATTCTTATGATGACTGTTTTTCATTGTAAAAAATTCTAACTGATTTTTTTGGTTATTGTATTTTATTATTGTGACTGCCTCTATATAAAAACTGCACCTCTCCCAACAAAACAGCCCTTACCTCCTCCTGTTCATTGCACTTCCCATTTTTTATTAGGATATACTGGAAAACTGCCTGCTTGTCAGGACTTTACTGCCTGTCAATCAGCTATAGAAGGACACAAATTCTTCCCTGATCTCATAGAAAGAACCCATGTACTTTGCTACCACGACTAGTGACTTCCATATTGTTGGTGGCTGATTGCGTTCAATTAATTGATGTCACACAGGGAGGTAGACAGTTTTGGGACTGATGATCAGGCAGAGAGGCTCTTGATGACCAGACCTACTTACCAGAAAATGACCGCCAATACCAAGTGCAATTACCATTTAGTATGGAAGTAAAGAGTTCTCCACTGACTGAGTGTGGTTTATGAACACACAGTTGGTGCCGCTTTACTGTAGCAAAATACATATATTGTACTACTTTTTTGAAAAAAAATAAATAAATCATGGTTTATTTTTAGCAATTATACATTTAAGTCATCATTTCATTACCGTATATACTCGAGTATAAGCCGAGATTTTCAGCCCATTTTTTTGGGTGAAAAGTGCCCCCCTCGGCTTATACTCGAGTCAGCGCCAGCGCGTCATCTTACTTACCTCGCCGAGCGTCGCGTCACTGCTGCTCGGTGTGCGGCGCTCCGAGCGGGGTCATCTGGCAGTCTCCGGGTCCTAATTTAGGTGGCCGGAGACTGCCAGATGACCCCGCTCGGAGCGCCGCACACCGAGCAGCAGTGACGCGACGCTCGGCGAGGTAAGTAAGAACGTTATATATCCGGGTCAATACTTTTTCCCAGTTTTTTTGGCTAAAATTAGGTACCTCGGCTTATATTCGGGACGGCTTATACTCGAGTATATACGGTATTTAATTTAAAATGTTTATGCATCTTCATGTTTCCATTATTACCCTTTAATGGCTGTACACGGTGGTGGATTCTTGACCTAGTGGCTAACTGTATATCAAGTAGTATAGTCAGTTCGGCTAAATTACAGCTCCGAGATTGGCTATCCATATGGAGGTTTGTTCTTTTTTCTGAGCAGGTTGCTAAAATTGCATTAACCCCTTCGTGACTGACGACGTACAGTGTACGTCGCCAGCATCGGGGCTGTTTAAACAGACTCCCGGCGACTTTTGCCGCCGGGACTCTGTTTAAACTTGTAGAGCCGACTGTCGGCTTTACAACAGAAGCGATCCTGGCGACTTACCTGTCGCCAGATCGCTTCTGCGTCCCGAAGAAGGGGCCGCCCCCCCCGGCGGACACCCCCGCCGTGCTTCCCGGGCTCCGTTGCCCCTCCTACGGGCCCGGGACCGGCGATCTTTGTGTCCGCGGGGAGCTGGGGAGGAGGTCGACGAACTTCCGTTCATCGATCCCCTCCCCGTTCTATGGGACCGGGAGCGATGCAGATTGCATCACTTCCGGTCCCTGGGCTGTCAGTTCTGGGCTCCTGCAGCCCAGCTATAAGCTATTGAAGTGCGATCTGCACTTCAATAGCTTATTTCCAGTGTAAAGGTGACACTGAGGGTCTTTTGGACCCCCAGCATCACCTTAAAGAGGACCTGTCACCACCATCTGCTATTACATGGGGGGGCTTGCAAGCCCCCCCATGTGATAGCAGTCAAAGTAAAGTAAAAAAAAAAAAAAAAACAGTTTTTAAAATTAAAATGAAATAAAATAAATCTAATAATAATAAAAAAAAATTTTAAAAGTACCCCGCCCCCGCGAGCACGCGCGTCGCCACGTAAACACGCGTCGGGTGCGCCTACGCATGAAAACGACGAACGCGCTACACATGTTGGGTATCGCCGCGCACGCCGGAGTGAGAGCAATAATCCTAGGGCCAGTATTTTGGGGTATTTCTAAATTGATGACCTGTGGGGGCTTTTAAAGTGTCTTTTATTGACTTTTTGGGGTACTGCAGTTTTTCGCCGTTTCACGGTCGCACGCAATCTGTAAACTGGGCATGTTGGGTATCGTTTTACTCGTTGTAACCTCATCTTTTATATTTCATTTAAAAAATGGGTAATTTGTTGTGTTTTGGGGCATTTAATTAAATTTGTCACAAAATTTTGGGGTTTAATAAGGAGTTGCGCTAATATTGCGCAACATAAAAATTTTCAACTACCACCATTTTATTCTATAGGGTCTTGGCATTCAGAAAATATATAATGTTGGGGGGTTTTACGTCATTTTCAGGCCTAAAATGTGGAATATAACATGGGTGCAAAAATTGAAAAAAGGGCCTCAGTCATGAAGGGGTTAAGGCCAAACAATAAAGTGAACTTACAGTGCAAGTGTAACCTGCATATTTAATAAGCAGTTATATAACAGATATACATTTTGTCGATGTATTCCAACCTCATTTAGAAACAGAGTTTTAAATCTTTAACGTACATTGATATGCCTTTTAACGCTAATTACATTCCCATGTGATTATCTGAACAAGATTACCGAGTGAGCCTATCTGACCAAAACCTACTCCAAGTCATCCTTTATTTGTATCCTGAGTTCAGAAGACTGTCAGGGATTTAGTTTGAAGGGGACATGAAGGGGAGAGTACGTAAATACAAGACACTATACAACTAGCTGGTAAATGTTTGTATTTTTCAGATAGATAAATACAGGAGGGGCAATTTACTGGATGTACAAACCCCCCCCAAATGTCCAGTATTCGGTTTTGCCTAATAACATAATATTATGTCCACTTTTATTGCGTAATAAAAGTGGACAGAAGTAAGCATTCTTATTAAATATTAATACAAACGGTCTCAATTGCATACATTAGCAAGTTAATGTGTAAGCCACCCATCACTATAAAAGGTGCGTCCTGCAGGTACTGTCCTATTCCCATCCTCCCCAGATACATACCTACCTAGGACAGATGAACATTGTTTAAAAGTGCATTCATCCTTAAAGGAGAACTATGAGGTGAGTGCTTTTCACTCACCTCATAGTTCTAGCCGACCTGTGACAATGAGACTGTCACAGGTCGCCTCAGTAGATCGGGAGGTGAGCGAACACATACCGGGTTCGCTCACCTCTCGATCCTGTCACGGCTCTCTGCCATGACAGGGGAGGGGCTGGATTCCCCTCTCCCCGCTCTGATCCAACAGCGCTGACTGGCGGAACAGACGGGGGAGGGGGCGGGTAAAGCTGGATCTGCCTGTAGATAGGCAGAGCCAGCTGTCACTCACGCACTCCGGCTGTGGCGTCTCAGTATACCGCGAGCTGTAGCTCGCGGTATACTGAGCCTAGGGTGACTGGAGGATGCTAGTTTGTGTCCTCCCATTACCCTAAGGAGAACAATGGGGAAAAGCCCTGACCCCATAGTTCTCCTTTAACATTATCACACAGTTTATCATATTACTTCAAAATATCATTAGCTTCTGATAACCCATATTTATAAAGTTCTGTGAGGCGTCTATTAAAGAGAGCCACTTCATGTGGAGATTTAGGGGTTGATTTACTAAAGGCACACGTGGCTGTTCACTTTGCAAGGGAATTTATTACAGGAAGCTCCACGTCTTACACTGGATTACTGCACAGATCTGGAGGAAATACACAAAGCTCACCAAGATTCAAGGAAGGATACACATGACTCTTGTATGAGGACAATATTCTTCTTATATGCGTACCAGCAACTCATGCTCTCAGGAACGTATAGATGATATGCCTCCCAAATGCAGGAGTCATGGCAAGAAGACAGTCTTGTGTGCTTGTTGGTGTTCTTCATTCACATCCACATTACAGGCAGGTGTCTTTAATTAAATAAAAAACGGTAAAAATGGCGAGCGCACAACTGATGTGGAATGTGGTGAGGGAAACGGATATGTTAAAAACAATTTTAATGTTGAAACAAATTTGAAACAAATTTGAAACAAATTTAAAACAATTTGGGGTGAGCCAGCTTCTTGTTCAGGGGGAGGAACCCTGTAGGCATATGTAAAAAGGAGGGTGGAAAGAAGCGCTGCAACCCTGGGATTTTTTTGTAGTACGAATAAAAACTTTAAAATCAATGTTTGGCTGAAAACTCACTGTTTGGCTGACCAGGCTGAGCTCTCATTGCACCTGACGGTGAGAGCCACATCCACCAGCACAGTTCACTCTGTCCCAACGGACCCCCCAGTTACAACAACCACCAGGCAACATCTATGGACTGCCTAATGACGTTGTAGCCCGTTCTTCATATCCACACAGACCGGCCACAGATGCCGCTGAGTGATCCATACAGCCTCCACTCCTCAACTGCAAGACCTCATCTTGTCCGTCCAAACAGTGAGTTTTCAGCCAAACATTGATTTTAAAGTTTTTATTCGTACTACAAAAAAATCCCAGGGTTGCAGCGCTTCTTTCCACCCTCGTCTTTAATTAAATATATACCATGACAGTCCTGCATTCCCTATCAGTTGTGTTAACAGACTGCAGGACTAGTGTGTCTAAATTATGAATGTCTGCAAGGGTCGCTTTTCTTTTTAACTTGTGCCAGATAGACATCTATAAATTTAGCAGGTGATTGGCAATGTGCCATAGGCACACATGGCATATGACTTCTAATTCTGGAATTTGAGCAAACTGTAAGTATGGGATAAGGCTAGGGTATATCGTATTTTTGTAGATCTTGAAAGTAGCTATAGTAAAAGAGTATTTTGTTTTACTTTATTACTGTATTGAAAAATCATGAAATTCCCACTAAATGTTTCAGAATATCGATTCTAAGGTTTGAATGTGTTATACAGTATGTATTTACTTGTAGAAAGTAATGTCAATCCCTTTAAGACAATAAGAATCTAGTTCTTCATCTTTCTTGGTAATCCACACAGAACCATACTGACATTTTCCTCTATTTCTAGGTATGGTAGAAGACTATAAACCTCCATTCTTTGATGTTGTTCCACATGATCCTAGCTTCGAGGACATGAAAAAAGTTGTCTGCATTGATCAACAGAGACCAAATATTCCTAACACCTGGTGTTTGGATAAAGTAAGTAGAAGAAATGATCAAGTGTATAATAAAATTATTTCCATAAATATAGGATAGGTATGGATAGGTCCATACAAAATGATCATTTAGAATTGAGTGGATGCAGGTGTTCCACCAACAGTAAATTGGCATCACATTAAGGTTTTTTTTTCTGTATGAGGACATAGATGTTTTTTTTAGAAATTGTGTAATATGCCTCATTTGGGGCCTAAGGACGTCTGATTGCTCCTGATAACGATGGTAAGATGCTGTATTATACTTTTTATATGTTTTTAATTTAATTTGTCAACGCTTAGTAAATCCAGTGAGCATTTTACACTTAGGCCTGGTTCACACCTGGTCGTTTTACAGCACGTTCCTACGCGCTGTAAAACGCTCAACATGTGAAAACCAATAATTGCCTATGGGCATGGTTCCCACCTGGGCGTTGTACAGTGCGTAGGTACGCGCTGTAAAACGCCCTACGCCCAAAGAAGTACAGGAGCTTCTTTGGGGCATATTTGCCGCGCGTATCCATTAGGATACAACCGGATAGCCCTCGTAAACGCGCGTTTGTCGCACGTTTCTTTTACCACTAATCGCGGTGCAAACGCGTATATTCCGTACGCCCAGTTGTGAACCCAGCCTAATGCAGGCTTCAGCTATGGTGGTGCTGAAGTAATGAGGATACACTTGCCTGGTTGCAGTGTGTGTGTATATATAAATATATATATATAGATAGATAGATATATCTATATA